GTATGTAACAAAAAGGAGGCCTGGTCGAGGACCGGGCCGCGGGGATGCTAAGCCCCTAAATCATCTCAAGATAACCTCAAGATAAAGCAAGGAGGCCGGGGGGGGGGGTGGCCAAGGAGACCGGGGGGGGCGGCCGAGGAGGCAGGAGGAGCGGCCAAGGAGGCCGGAGGAGCGGCCAAGGAGGCAGGAGGAGCGGCCAAGGAGGCCGGAGAAGCGGCCAAGGAGGCCAGAGGTATTGCCCTCTTGAGCGTCCTGGAGGTATGACAACCCTGCCATAGGGAACGCAAGATGGCAGCACGTGATACAAACTGCGCTCAAAATAATATCACATCAAGTAAGAACGTGAAAAAAAAAAACAGGATTTCATTTGGATAAAAATAGATTTAGAAACGCCATAACTGGGAGGACTGGCCAGGCAGGAGGTGTGGCTGAGAGCAAGAACCTGTTCCAACCGGTACTCGAGCGGTGTGACGGTTGGCGGTTGAACCGCCACTAGAGCGGCAAGTTACAAGAACGGCTCGAAGAGATACGCGAGCGAGCCACACCGCGCTCACGAACCCTCACGTGTCTCAGTTGGATGGTATACCGTATAAAGGCGAACGGTCCGGTTCCCATAAGCCTACTGCAGTGTTGGTCTTGCATGAGCGAGTAGGCACAGTGCAGCTGAAGGCCTAGTAAGAACAAATAGGCCTTGTTCTTATGTGCGAGAGAAACATATTGATAAACTCACGTAGTTGTTGTTGTTGTTTAAGATTCGCTATCTGGAACAAAAAGTTCCAAGTAGCACGGGCTATGGCGAGCCCGTAGTGTGTATAAACTCACGTAAAAGGGCATCACGTCACGTTATGTGAGGTATAAGGAGCATCACGTTACGTTATGCAGTGTTGGCGGAGGAGGGAGAGAGAGCGAGAGCGAGAGAGGAGAGAGATAAATGAGAGAGAGGAGGGATAGAGAAAGGAGAGAGGAAAGAGAGACAGGAGAGACAAAATGAGTGTGTGAAAGGAGAAAGGAGAAAGGAGAAGGAGAGAGAGAGAGAGAGAGAGAGAGAGAGAGAGAGAGAGAGAGAGAGAGAGAGAGAGAGAGAGAGAGAGAGAGAGAGAGAGAGAGAGAGAGAGAGAGAGAGAGAGAGAGAGAGATGAGAGAGAGAGAGAGAGAGAAAGTAGAGTGAGAAATGGGAGTGTGTGAGGAGTGAGTACAGTGACACACACATGTGTGAGTGTGGTGAGTGTGTGTGTGTGTGTGTGTCACAGGGAGAGGGACCAACAAGTAGGTCAGTGGGTCGGGCCACTACTGTCATCCCCACATACCTGGACCATACCTGGAGAGGGTTTCAGCAGTTCTACTCCCCGACCTCGGCCCGGGGCCAGACTCGACTTGTGATAACTTGGTCCTCCAGACTGTTGCTTGGAGCGGCCCGCATATCCACTACAGCCCGGTTGGTCCGGCACTTCTTGCAAGAACTTATCTAAGTGCCTCTAGAATACATCCACCTTTGTTCCAGCAATATTTATTGCCGGAACACACCAGTATTACACTAAAAACTTTATACACCAAAAACACTTTATACACCTCGGCCGGAAAGCCTCGGCCAGTGACCCTCGGCCCGCCACCCTCGGCCAGCTCGGACACCAACGCATTGCAGTCTGACGTATAAATTCCCAGTTAAAATACGATGTACTATAAATCACAGCCGCTCGCAAAATTGACGGGTTGTCACGTTTTCTATAGGTGGGTCCACGGGCAGGTTCCTATAGGTGGGTCCACGGGCAGGTTCCTATAGGTGGGTCCACGGGCAAGTTCCTATAGGTGGGCCCGCGGGCAGGTTCCTATAGGTGGGCCCGCGGGCAGGTTCTTATAGGTGGGCCCGCGGGCAGGTTCCTATAGGTGGGCCCGCGGGCAGGTTCCTATAGGTGGGTCCACGGGCAGTTGCCGGCAATTTAATACATGAGTTTAGTGGTCTGTTGACCAGACCACACACTAGAAATTGAAGGGACGACGACGTTTCGGTCCGTCCTGGACCATTCTCAGTCGATTGTGATGAGGAGGTAGGCAGGCAATAAATAGGAAAGAGAGAGCTGAGGAGCTCCTCAGCTCTCTCTGCCTATTTATTGCCCGTCCCTACTCCTCATCACAATCGACTTGAGAATGGTCCAGGACGGACCGAAACGTCGTCGTCCTTCATTTCTAGTGTGTGGTCCACGGTCAACATACTTCAGCCACGTTATTGTGACTCATCGCCTGCATTTAGTGGTCTTGTGACGCCTGGAGAGGACTGGCTGAACTCAAACCTATTGACACATTGCCCTGGCCCTCACTAGGGTACTATCCTGTGACACGCTGCCCTTACCTTCAGTGGGGGTAGGTTAATCTGGGTTGGGTTAGGTTTGTATATATAGTAATGACGTAGAAGTATGACCACACATCAGAAGATGATGAGACGACGACGTTTCGGTCCGTCCTGGACCATTATCAAGTTGTTAGATTTTACAGTCTCCGTGGTGTAGTGGTATGACACTCGCCTCGCGTTCCGCGAGCGCTTTGTCATGGGTTCGTATCCTGGCTGGGGAGGATTTACTGGGCGCAAATCCTTAACTGTAGCCTCTGTTTAACGCAACAGTAAAATGTGTACTTGGATGAAAAAACGATTCTTCGCGGCGGGGGATCGTATTCCAGGGACTTGCCCGAAACGCTACGCGTACTAGTGGCTGTACAAGAATGTAACAACTCTTCTATATATCTCATAAAAAAGAAAAAAAAAAGATTGTCTTGACCAATATGTATATAGAGCATATGATGACCAAACCACTACAATGTGTAGTTTGATCATCATATCATCAGCCACGTTATTGTGACTCATCGTCTGCATGTAGAAGTGTACATATTTTTGTGAAGTCTTAGACCCTACTGAGTGATGGTAGTTGCCTAAACTGCTGCATGTATTCAACACTTGTCTCGCTGCTGCTGGCGGACACCTTGTAATAATGCCTTTCCTTCCATTTACCTGGGCTCTAGGAGACTCGAACCCTGGCCCCGAAGCTCTATCGACCGAGCTATTGAGTAGTTTTAATAAGGAAAGATTTATATCTTGTGTGAATGACACTTTATAACACCTTCCCTCCTCTCTCCCCCCCCCCAGGATGACCCGAGGACCAACCACCGCCCTCCTGTGTCTGGCCGCCCTTGTGGTAAGTATCCCTAGGGGCCAAGCTTTGTCAACCACTAACGAAACCGGTACATCTTGAGAAAGACGTAACTACCTTCGAGAAAGTTCATCAGGCACAAAAAATCACTCTCGTCCAGAACTAAGTCAACTCTCGTACTACGAGTGGGCGAGGGGCCTCAGGCCTTGAACAAAATCATCAGGACAAGTGGACTGACCTTTGACAAGCCGCAATCTTCCTGTCCTCTTCGAGGCTACTAGTGTGTTTGTGGCCCTGAGGTAAATTCAGGTATCGATGTCCCCCCCACAAGTACGAGCAATTAATTCGTTTTCTAAGAAGTAATCTGAAAAGCAGTTTAATAGAAAACGTATATCGGTTCTTAAAATTTGGAGTGACTGTACCAAACTCACAAAGGCATCGTAAGCTTTTTCTAATACTTAGTATTCGGTTAGATTAAGTTACAAATAATTGCCATCACTTTAGTTACGTTACGATCAGTTTGGTTAGATTATCTTGAGTTTTGTTAAGTTAGCATGAGTTTGTTAAGGTTAGCATCAGTATGGTTAGGTTAGCATTAGTTTGGTTAGGTTAGCATTAGTATGGTTAGGTTAGCATTAGTTTGGTTAGGTTAGCATTAGTATGGTTAGGTTAGCATTAGTTTGGTTAGGTTAGCATTAGTTTGGTTAGGTTAGCAAGAGTTTGTTAAGGTTAACACCAATACAGTTAGGTTAGATAGCGCGCAGGACTCGTAATTCTGTGGCGCGGGTTCGATTCCCGCACGAGGCAGAAACAAATGGGCAAAGTTTCTTTCACCCTGAATGCCCCTGTTACCTAGCAGTAAATAGGTACCTGGGTGTTAGTCAGCTGTCACGGGCTGCTTCCTGGGGGTGGAGGCCTGGTCGAGGACCGGGCCGCGGGGACACTAAAGCCCCGAAATCATCTCAAGATAACCTCAAGATAGTTTGTTAAGGTTTGCATCAGTATGGTTAAGTTACGCCTAGATTCATTAGTTTAGGACCAATTTGGTTGGGGTAGGATCAGATTGGTTAGGTTAGGACCAGATTGGTTAGGTTAGGATCTGATTGGTTAAGTTAGGACCAGATTGGTTAGGTTAGGATCAGATTGGTTAAGTTAGGACCAGATTGGTTAGGTTAGGACCAGATTGGTTGGGTTAGCACCAGATTGGTTAGGTTAGGACCAGATTAGTTGGGTTAGCACCAGATTGGTTAGGTTAGGAACAGATTAGTTGGGTTAGCACCAGATTGGTTAGGTTAGGACCAGATTAGTTGGGTTAGCACCAGATTGGTTAGGTTAGGAACAGATTAGTTGGGTTAGCACCAGATTGGTTAGATTAGGATCAGTGTTAATTATCGTTGAGGTTACTATAGAGAATAGCCGTTAAAAAGTAGTTTAACAGGTTGGATTGATTTTGTAGTGTTGACCTCTTTACCAGAGATGATCCGCCATGCCGCCTCTGACATGCCCTCCCAACAACACTGAAATACTCAACAGATACAACGACAACAGACGATCAGACATAGCTGAAGCACTACATATCAATCACTCATCTATAAACAACCAGTTCACACTATCGAGGTCACACCACACCGTCAATATACATTAGGGTATATATATTCTGCAGCTTTAGCTAATTTATATTGTTTACGGGCTAAATTTATATTGTTTACGGGCTAAATTTATATTGTTTACGGGCTAAATTTATATTGTTTACGGGCTAAATTTATATTGTTTACGGGCTAAATTTATATTGTTTACGGGCTAAATTTATAATTTACGGACTAAATTTATAGTTTACGGGCTAAATTTATAGTTTACGATCTAAATTTATAGTTTACGGGCTAAATTTATAATTTACGGACTAAATTTATATTGTTTACGGGTTATTCATGCCCCTGCCACCTCTTGGGTGGCTTAATCTTCATCAATTTATATTCACTTTCCTTCTACCTCCGAAAATGTTGACAACTTTCAAGGAAACTCATCATTTAGCGTGTCTCACAAAGTTTTCACAAGTGGTTTTCCCACAGGTGGGTACGGCCGGCCACGGGCGGCTCATGAACCCCCCGGCCAGGAACGCCATGTGGAGGTACGGCTACCCCAACCCCGTCAACTACAACGACAACGAACTCTACTGCGGAGGCTACGTTGGTAAGTCTGGGGATGGGGGGGGGGTGAGGAGGGAATTATCAAGGGAAAGCGTCAAGCCATTACGACTATATAGCACTTGGAAGGGGTCATGATAAGGATTTGGGATGGGACGGGGGGAAAGGAATGGTGCCCAACCACTTGGACGGTCGGAGATTGAACGCCGACCTGCATGAAGCGAGACCGTCGCTCTACCGTCCACTCCAAGTGGTTGGACTGGGGGGTGAGGAACGGAAGGGAATTGTCAGGGGGAAAGCGCCGAGCCATTACGACTATATAGCACTGGGAAGGGGTCGGGATAAGGATTTGGGATAGGATGGGAGGGCAGGAATGGTGCCCAACCACTTTGGACAGTAGGGGATTGAACGCCGACCTGCAGGAAGCGAGACCGTCGCTCTACCGTCCAGCCCAAGTGGTTGGAGTGGGGGGGGGGGGGGGGGAGGTGAAGCAAGAGAGATCACTCCAAATTGTCCTCACACTTAATGCGCCTTAATTTGGACGTTGTAGCTGCGATAGCGCGTCAGAACTCGGCTGTATACCTCCCTTGACGGATCCTACTACTTGGGCTGGACGGTACAGCGACGGTCTCGCTTCATGCAGGTCGGCGTTCAATCCCCGACTGTCCAAATGGTTATAATAGCTGTCATAATGGCTCGCCGCTTTCCAGACACACAACCTCCGCTCATGTGCCAGGTAATTCCACTACGGGCTCACCATAGTCCGTGCTACTTGCCCCGCTCATGTGCCAGGTAATTCCACTACGGGCTCACCATAGTCCGTGCTACTTGCCCCGCTCATGTGCCAGGTAATTCCACTACGGGCTCACCATAGCCAGTGTTACTTGGAACGTTTTGTTCCCAGTAGCTGAATCTTGAACAACTACAACAACAACCGCTTTGCACCTGATAGTTCCCTTTCCTTCCCTTGACGGATCACGGGCTCCCAAACTGGTGTAGCTCTGAGGCCAAACTATAAGAACACAACCGCCAAACACACACCCAAATTACAACGTTGGTACAACGTTCGAAAAAGTTTTAACACCTAACCAGTTATAACAACAAATATAGCATGTTGTAACAACGTTCTAATACGTCATAAACACGTTAAGCCAAGAGGTAACAACTTTATTACAAGTTGTAACAAGCGGAAAATAGAGACAGTTTCTGTTTGTGTTTCCAGGGAAGCCTTCGTATGTTACCTTTAGGTTACCTTGAGGTGCTTCCGGGGCTTAGCGTCCCCGCGGCCCGGTCGTCGACCAGGCCTCCTGGTTGCCGGACTGATCAACCAGGCTGTTGGACGCGGCTGCTCGGAGCCTAACGTATGAGTCACAGCCTGGTTGATCAGGTATCCTTTGGAGTGAGTATGGTATGTATGTGAGTAACTCACTCAGGTATGTGAGTGAGTTCCCTGAGCACTTTACCGTAATCTCCACACAACGTAGTATTAACGCAACCCGTTCTCGCACTTGCCTCAGTCAATATTGGCTTATTTAATAAGTGCATATGTGACATACTAATTGATTGTGAATATTTTAGTTTACCTTGAAAAGCTTCATAGAAAACACCGACCTCACCTAACCTTCTTAGTATGTTAAGATAAGCATCTTATTTACAATTATTACTTAACCTATACCGTTGATAGGTTAAGTAATAATTGTAATTAAGAAGCAATAAGATGCCGTTGTGTGTTTGCTGGGGTTAAGACACGTTAACATTTACATAAATGTTTAGAGCACTCCAATATGTGTTAAAGAGGATTACACTGATGTTTATGTTCCACGAACCTTGTCATAGTTTACTATACAATATTGACAAAGATAGTATTTACAAGGTCAATATACGGTAAGTAGTTTGACAGTGTCATAAACTCATTTTACAGTACGTTAATGGTGATATATCTGGATTAGCTTCAACTGTATAGTTTATGTATCAGCTATTAATATATTGAAATATATTATAATCCACACCCTGTAACAACCACTACCAACAACAATTCACACACTGCTACAACCACTACAACAATTTACACACTGTAACAATCACTACAACAATCTACACACTACAACAATCCACACACCACAACAACCACTAACTGTAGTCCCCGCCACAGTCCAGTACCAGAAGAACGGTGGGAAGTGTGGCGTGTGTGGCGACAACTATGTAGAGAAGGTCCCGCGCTCCCACGAGAATGGCGGACTCTTCGGTAACGGCATCATCACTAAGAACTACGTCGCTGGCCAGGTGAGGTGTGGCGAGGTGTGGGTGTGGTCAAGTGTGGCGAGGTGTGGTCAAGTGTGGCGAGGTGTGGGTGTGGTCAAGTGTGGCGAGGTGTGGTCAAGTGTGGCGAGGTGTGGTGTGGTCAAGTGTGGCTTGGTGTGGTGTGGCGAGGTGTGGTCAAGTGCTGGATGTGGTCAAGTGTGGCTGGGTGTGGTCAAGTGTGGCTTGGTGTGGTCAAGTGTGGCGATGTGTGGTCAAAGTGTGGCGAGGTATGGGTGTGGCAGATATGACAGCGGGCGGCCAGCATAGAGATTTGCGCCAAAAATCGACAGGAGACGGCGACTCGAACTCCCCGGATGAGGGAAAAAAATATGATTTTGCACATACTATCAGGAATGGCCAATGAGGTGGTGGCCTGAGATCACGTGGTATGACGGGAGCGCCTGAGTGGCGCAGACAGCCGATGGCAGCACCAGTACACCCTGCGACGTCGTACAGGGAGGATGCAAGGAGGTCAGCTCTGTAGAAATCGAGGATTTTCGCAAGATTTTAACGTCTAACTGTTGACAGACTTAAGAATAACGTTAGGAGTGACCGTACGAAGATTCCTGGCGGAAGGTTTCAAAGACGAGATCTGCGGGATGCCAACCCATCCTCCTGTTTAGATAGTAACTGTGCACCATAGTACACATATTGACATACTAAGCAATTAGATAGTAGAACTTTGTACTATTCACTTTATAAAGTCTGGAGCAAATGAAGCTAAAAACCAAATATTCCTAGGCCTAGTATAAACATATGTACTAAATTAAGCCTCAGATATCGTGTACTAAGCCTAGGAAGGTTAGGTTAGCTTAATTTGTCTTTCCTACATAAGCATAAAATCGTTTTCCGGTTTGCCCAAATTTCATATTCTACTTTCTAATGTCGTTGTACGTCGGTATATGTACTACGGTCCTCATCGTTACTACTAGTACTGTCAAAACAGGAAGATAGGCTGGGGATGCAGGCAACTCAGTCTCAAGGTGATCTGAGATGACATGGAGGCTGGGCCCAGGAGCTGAGTGACGCTTCCCTCGCAGTTTTCCTCATGCTCTGTGCAACCGTACGATGACAGTGCGCAAGGCTGGTCAGTATTCATCATGAGGATGGACGTACAGATAAGCAGTGTGAGTACTAAGCTGTTGTACAGTCTACGGGCTCACCATAGCCCGTGCTGCTACCTGGAACTTTTTGTTCCAGGTAGTGAACCTTATAAAACAACAACAATAAGCTGTTGTCCTGCCTCCTAGAACATTTTAGTGAGCAGTGAGGCCAGTGTGAGGTCTCTTGGGCTCTTCTTACTCCGAGAAGGACCCGACGCAGCACCTCAAGTCCAGTTGTGAGGTGTGTGGTGAGGTGTGGTGAACTGTGAGGTATGTGTGTGGTGAGGTGTGGTGAGCTGTGAGGTGTAGTTGTGGTGAGGTTTGGGTGTGGTGAGCTGTGGGTGTGGTGAAGAAAGTGTATGTGTTATTGAGTTCTACCGTTGTCCTAGCCCCCCCTCCCCACCCCCTCGTCCTAACCCCCGTTTCGTCCACGTCCCCCTTCCCCCCCACTGATCCCACCCCCATGTGAAGCAACAGTGCCAGCGCCTGACCCTCCCCCCTCTCTCTCCGTCCACTACAGGTGATCGAAATCGAGGTGGACCTGACCACCAACCACCAGGGCTACATGGAGCTGAAGCTGTGTCCACACAACGACCGCAACACTATCATCACGCAGGAGTGCCTCGACCAGTGAGTAACACAGTCACTCCTTCCTCGACCAGTGAGTAACACAGCCCCTCCTTCCTCGACCAGTGAGTAACACAGCCCCTCCTTCCTCGACCAGTGAGTAACACAGTCCCTCCTTCCTCGACCAGTGAGTAACACAGTCACTCCTTCCTCGACCAATGAGTAACACAATCCCACATTTCTCGACCAGTGAGTAACAGCCCCACCTTCCTCGACCAATGAGTAACACAGCCCCTCCTTCCTCGACCAATGAGTAACACAGCCCCACCTTCCTCGACCAATGAGTAACACAGCCCCACCTTCCTCGACCAGTGAGTAACAACCCCACCTTCCTCACCCATCTCTAATTATTTACTAGTAATATCCCTCGACCATATTTTGAATATTAAGAAACATGAGTAAGAATGGCTATTGGTCCACACGAAGCAGCTCCTAGTACTGCTATTTGAGGGACTGTTCCACTCTTGTACGATTCTTTCGTAGTCAATTTCCTAGAGAATATTAATAATCTTAATATATGTTTACAACTTCTATCCTAACTCTAATGTTTGTCACCAACTAGTTTACCTCTTAGATTTAGATTTAGATTTTAGAACCTCTTAGATTTTTCATCCATTTGTATATCTCAGTCATGTGTCTCCTCGTGCTTAGACTTTCAATAGAAAATATCTTTAATGCCCTTATTATAGTTCCTTAATGATAAGAATCATAAAGTTCAAAACTACGGGATACTTTGAGAAGTTGCGGCTCACAAATACTCACAGTTTCTATCCTTAGGTTGATTAGGTTAGGTGGGTGGTTTGGGTTTGTGCGCTTTAGCACCCTCTTTATTTTGCCCGTTGTAGAGTGAAACCATGAATCTATAAACAAATAAAAGTCCATATCCGTCTGATTTGACCAGACCACACACTAGAAGGTGAAGGGACGACGACATATCGACTTGAGACGACGACATATCGACTTGAGAATGGTCCAGGACGGACCGAAACGTCGTCGTCCCTTCACCTTCTAGTGTGTGGTCTGGTCAACTTAAGCCACGTTATTGTGACTCATCGCCTCCATATCCGTTTTGTATATATAAAATGATTACGTGATAAGTGTCTCCATTCAAAGAGGGAACGTCTCCGTGCTCCAGGTATCCCTTGAAAGTGGTCGGGCAAGACGACTCCAAGTTCTTCATCCCCAAGGGCACTCCCAAGTCTGCCACCTTGAAATGGAAAGCGCAACTTCCCGAGGGCGTCACCTGCAGCGCCTGCGTCGTCCAGTGGAAGTACTTCGCAGGTTAGTGGCTTGTGTTAGAACAATATTGTAATGCTTTGGTCGGGGATTATTAAGTAATAAAGCTGGGGAGTTGTGCAGGCCGCAGGGAATGTCTTGAGTGATAAAGGCGTCTTGAGTTGGTGTCACAGTCTTCAAGGAGGAGGTATCATGGTCAAGTCTAGTTAAATATCTAATGTAAACCAGTCACCTCACAGTACACAGTGACGAAAACTATTTTGAATCATCTCACAGTAAGCAATGGTACCGAGACATCACCGTAAGCAATGGTATCGTAACATCACAGTAAGCAATGGTACAGAGACATCACAGTAAGCAATGGTATCGTAACATCACAGTAAGCAATGGTACAGAGACATCACAGCATGGACTTCTATTATAAACATTTTGCTTAACAAATGTTCAAACATTTTTAGAAAAGGTAAAACATTAAACAGCCAAAGGTTCTCTGGCGCCGCTGTCCAATTCTGTCACTTAAAGCGTTAATTAGACTCCCGAAGGAAAGAACAGCCCCGGCAAATTCAAACAAATGGAACAGCAAAAAAACATTTGAATTCATGAATTCAAAACATTTGAATTTAACGGTCAGCTGACCGTTGTCTCACATTCGAATGGTCCCTGGATTGTTACTTTTTTGGGGAGAAGGCATGCTTTCTTACACCTGATGGGTCTGTTCACCTAGTAATAAATAGGTACTTGGGTGTTAGGTAACGGTTATGGGTTGCGTCCAGAAGGTCAGTAGCTGGTCTAACGAGGACCTTGACTAAACACTTTCTGTCCCAAACTGCAACAATGTTATTGTGTGAAATTCCCTGGGATGTGTCGTGGGACGTTGGGATGTGTCCCGGGGCGCTGGGACACATCCCAGTGTATAATCACCTTCAACGACCCTAATGTAACCATCTCAAACCACACCATCAGAGCTATAGACCATATTAAGATATAAGAGTTACAAAAGCTGAACATTATCGCCACACAAAATGATTTATAAGAAGAAAACATTTCCCAATGACTGACAAATACTACTGAATGTTATCAAATATATTATTACTTATATAAGGGAAAGGAATTATCAGCATAAAACGCCAATTCATTACGACTATATAACACTTGGATGGGATGAGGAGGGATGGTCAAGAGTGAAGGAACGGTGCCCAACCACTTGGACATTCCGGGATTGAACGCCGACCTGCGTCAAGCAAAACCAAGTGGTTTCAATCCAAGTGGTTGGATGGTAGAGCGACCATTGCAAATGGTAGAGGACACTGCAAGCTGGATACATTTCACTTCATAATAAATGTACATCCTTGCTCTCTCTGGGAAAGCAACGGGACCTTGCCATAGCAGTCGACAACAAGTGGGGGGTTGAAGAGTAACTTAGCGTCGCTGTAAGGTGGGTAACTATACGCCAGCAGTCATCAAACGTACCTTTGACGGTCAGGGGAAGACCGTGTCTGCTGCCTCAAGTCTGGCGACCACACCTGCGGAAAGACGATATATTAGTGGATGAAATTTATTGAGTCAGCGCGCGTGTGAGGGAGAGTTAGTTGGCAGCTGTGGGACTGGACGCTGCTTCAACAAGGCACAACATGTTGGGATAAACTCACGGGAGACATCTCCCGTCACGCAGGGTGCAGTAGCACCTCCACAGATCTCCAGTATCATTTATTGATACTGGTAATGGCTCAAAAGGGCCACCACTTACGGGCTATTCATGCCCGTGCCACCTTTTGGGTGGTTTAATCTTCATCAATCAATCAATTTGGGATAAGCTAACCTCTAACAACTTCTTGGGATGTGCAATCTTATAGATGTTCGAGGCGCTATCTTGCAAGTTACCAAGAGACAATGTAGAACAGATGGCAGGAGTCTTGACGTTGGGTTCCTCAGGCAGACAACAGTCACAGACTACCTGGATAAGGCCACCAGACATGTGGCTACACTGTACAACAGTCACTACAAGCGCCGGGTATCAGGCAAATTCAAGTATTATTACAAGGAAACTAGCCATAGCTGAAGAGCCAGGTACATTGTGTCTACCGTCTTCAAGACCAAGGCAGAACATCCACCACACTGCTCCAGCCATCACTGGAACACAGGAGATGGACAAGCTGCAGTGGACCTATTGGCCACACGCCACACTTCACCCTCACTCTCGGTCACATATTCACCTGCACCATCTTTATCAATCAATCTAGATTCTAGATTTTAAACAGATTACAATCAAAAAGCATGATTCTTAATAGAGGAGGTGATCAGCCACACCCAAACTACACTTGTTCCCCACCGTGGGAGGAGCCTATCTTCAGAATAGTAATAGAAGGTCTTTTGATGAAAAAGGCTGCCTATGATCCAACAATCCTAAGGCGCATCATAGAAAAGTAAATGAGCAGCATTGCAGTAGCAGGAGCCACCCACATCTTCACAGACGGATCGGGGGACACAGTGCTGGCGCTACTCTTTGCACGGCCAGCGAACAGGCATATTGGAGACTGGGAGGACCAGTATCATCAACCCAAACTGAGCTGTTTGCCATACAACAGGCATTCGCATAACACTCAAAATGCAATCATACACACAGACTCAAAAGCTGCACTTCAAGTATTAGGAAAAAACAGTGGAAACACAACGTGGAAATAATTACCACCATTTTATATCTTGGAGCAGTAGCTAAAGGCAAAAGACTCGACACCACCCTAAACTGGATCCTATCCCATATTGGACTCCCATTAAATGAGAAAGTCGATGAAACTGCTAAATTGGCAACTAGTCATCCAGTGATCCACAAAACAATCCAACCACAGCCGAGAGAACATAAAAAACACCATCACCAATAACTCTCACACCTCAACACAGCCCATCTACACCAGAGTAGCAGAAGGTTCGCCCTCTGCAATATGGTATCTTCAGGCCACCAAGTTAGACAGGTTAAATATCCCAAAAGGAATCCACAGGGAAACAGCAGTTCGGTTATATAGACAACATCTAGGTTACAGATGCAACTGGGAGATTGGTGAACCCAGAGAGTGGGAATGCATCTTCTGCCAAACTGTCACAGAAGAGTCATTACTTCACTATCTCCTGGAATGTGAAGCAACCAACGACCTTAGACGAGCTTTAAGAGTCCCTGATTCTTGCAGTAACCACCCTGAAGCCATCACCACTGCCACTCTTCCGGTCAAAAAAGGTGTCCAGCAGCTGGAGACCCTCATAAACACTGTCAAGCAGTATCCTCCCCCACGATAGCAGCCTGACGATTTAAATGCGACCTCAGCACACAGTATACATTTACTAAAAAAAATAATAATAATATTAACCGACCACTTTTGGGCTATTCATGCCTTCCTTATCATGTTACAGTTGTTATGAAGATATCAAATGTTGTCACCCTTCATCAACATGAATGATTTTCAACTTCAGAGGAAGTTTGCTACAATCCCTAGATTGTTCCTCTGAAAATGCACGTTAATGATAGTTTTGTTTGTATATCTAATCCCTAGCATTGTTTTAATTATGGTACATCCTTCAGGGAACACGTGGGGCGTGGACAACACGACTGGCGAAGGGGCTCAGGGCTTAGGGCCTCAGGAGACCTTCATCAACTGTGCTGATATCTACATTCGCTCCAACACGCAGATCGGCGCCCCCGTCGACGACAACCCCTGGGCGCTGTACTTCAGGGGAGCCTACCCCGGCCTCACCCACACCGAAGACGTCGAGCCTGATAAGAACGGCCTCAAGCCTCTCGTTGTCAGGTATGGCGCCACCGGTAGTTGACAGGTGATGTACCACGGGTCCCCGCCTTGCCTGCAGGCAAGATCCAATAGCTTGGACAAAAGACGATACTCAAAATTATTTTGCATGTTAATCATCTTGTAACAAACTAGGTTTGTTGTAAGAAATTATGCATTATAGATTCATTATTTGGTCCATGGGTTCTTGAAAGTGGAGAGAGAGAGTAGTCTACCTCACTTTGGAGGTGAGAAGGTCCTCCCTCGGGTCCTACCCTGTCGTAGCTCAGTCGATTAAAGCAGTGTCTGGGATACTCCCGGACGCAGGTTCGAATCCTCGTCACGGCCCTTGTGGATTTGTTCCTCCCTCGGGGATTAGGACAGTAGTGTACATACAGGGTCGCCAGCTCTCCTTGGTTTTAAAGTATCACTTTGAGTCATTCAGGTATTAAAGTAACTGTACTTAATAACTCCCTGTTGTCAAGCATGTTGATTAATTTAACGTCAGTTATGAGTGTAGAATCAAATCCCCTTCTTAATCCGAGAGCAGATGACCCGGTTGTACTGGCACCACCGATCGGCCGAGCGGACAGCACACTGGACTTGTGATCCTGTGGTCCTGGGTTCGATCCCAGGCGCCGGCGAGAAACAATGGGCAGAGTTTCTTTCACCCTATGCCCCTGTTACCTAGCAGTAAAATAGGTACCTGGGCCGCGGGGACACTAAAAAGCCCCAAAATCATCTCAAGATAACCTCAAGATAACCACCGAGAGGACGGGTTATCATGTGACTGGCCGCACCCTCCACCCTTCTCCCTCATGTTACTTCAGTAATTTACAGAAATTCAGATTTTCATTTAATATTGTATTCAATAATCCGGAGATTATGTTTAATAACCAGCCTGGTTAATTGAAATTGAAATTGAAATAAGTTTATTGAGGTAAAATACACACAAAGGGATGAGGTAGCTCAAGCTATTCTCACCCCATTCAGTACATCGTGTTAATATATACATAGACACACATCACAAATAAACATATGGTTAAATATGAATGTAAAGGGTGAGATCTGGGTCGTGTACCGTCAAAGAGAGAGTGACGTCGTGTACCTTTGAGGGTACTACTACGCCGGGCGACGTACCTGACCTACCAGGGGTCGAGGTTAGGCGCCCGACGTCACCACAATCTTCCATATTTACTAATTCATATTGTACAAAATGAAGTCCACATGAGAATATTGTAATTGATATAGCTTTTGCCAAGATGACTAATGTAATTACCACCAGTTAAATGATAATTTAACCATCTGGGGTTTGCCAGTAATTAGGATTAGTTATGCGAGTCTACACCTAGTTTCCTCATGCAAACCAACAAGCATTTACTTAATTAATGAAGATAATCACTTTGCTCTTACTCTCCACATTAACGTAAAGCTTAGCCCTCCTTTTCATTTCATTGGGGGATAGAGTTTCACGGGACGCTTAATTGATGGTATCCTGCTTTCCATCAACTGAGAGATTTACTCAGGTTTAGCAGGTGGTGGCGGCGAATATTCAGAGTTGCAGTTTAATCTGGAGGAGACAGCATCTCTTGAGTTTGTGATATCTCAATGGTCAAACGTTTGGATCTCCAGGCCCGCCAAACACACACCGAAACTACAGCGTTGGTACAACGTTCGAACAAGTTTTAACACCTCCTAACCAGTTATAACAACCGATATAGCAAGTTGTAACAACGTTCTAATACGTCATAAACACGTTATGCCCAGATGTAACAACTTTATTACAAGTTGTAACAAGCGGAAAATAGAGACAGTTTCGGGTTGTGTTTCCTGGGGGGATTGTACAGTAGGTTACTGAGCAGAACTCTGGTTTCTGTATATATTTTCTTTAACTTTTCTTCAATAACGACCAGCTTTTAATCAGTAGTGAGGTTAAAGGTTGGCCCCCATTACAATCTTAATTAACTTTCTATTGAATAATACTAAGTACATCTTCCACACTACTCTGTACACTGCTCGGAATTTACCCACTTTGATAAGTTATTATTATTATTCTGTAACTTAACTAAGGACTACGTGTTTTTCTCCTCTCTCTCTCAGGGCCCAGCTATGTCTGCCCACCCGGTCGTTCGAAGTCGTCAATGGGTCCTACCAGTGGTGCATTCGGAACTGCCTCAAGTATCCACCCAACTGTGAAGAAACCTTGTGCTACTGTGTGTGAGTTGATGTTGTGTTCATTGTTCACAGCTCAGGTATCACCTTCATTGTTCACAGGTCTGGTGCATCAACGCGCCACCCGTTCTCGCACTTGCTTATAGTCAATATTGGCTTATTAATAAGTGCATATGTGACATACTAATTGTGAATATTTGAGTTTACCTTGAAAAGCTAAATAGAAAACATTTACCTAACCTAACCTTCTTAGTAGGTTAAGATAAGCATCTTATTGCTTCTTAATTACAATTAGTACTTAACCTATACCTATATTGATATTACAGTCTTATACAAATAATAAAACAAAACCAAAATATTTAAATAAATTGTAAAGTAACTCAAGATATTGTCAAATATTGTATAAAATTTCTATTGTTTAATAAAACTGAAAAAAAAATTCCTAATATTAAAACTGGTGTTTAGCAAATCTATAGGAAGAGTTTGTATCTTAAAAACAAAATATAACTTGGAATATACCACATATGTACTTATTAATCAGCCAAATAGTGACTGTAAGCAATAAGTCATATATGTACTGTCTTGTGCGAGAGCGGGTTGCAACACGTCCCATACACTCATGATCGCTGTAGTCGCGTTACCACAACGAAATCAGATTACCGTGATGTACCAATGACAACACCAGTAGCAGTCATAAGGATGATTCGAACCAGTACACTGGGTGCGCCCAACCACACGCCTTAAACCACTCAACCACGACATGCAAAATTAACATAACCTGGGATTCGACCGATTCCTCACGGGTTGCCGAAGCTGCCACTGATACCATATCCGGGTTTGACACATTGCTCTCCTGTGCTCCGGTGGGGTCTAGGAGCTATGTCTTCCAATGCTTCTCCTCAAATGCACAGAGAAATCACATTAATGTGATGTATAAATTAGAAAATGTTTAAGAGGATAATTTGCACACTAGGTACTTCCCTGCCCTTCACCACCTTCCCCTGCCCTTCGACTGCCCCCTGCCCTTCACTTGGACTGGACGGTAGAGCGACGGTCTCGCTTCATGCATGCCGGTGTTCAATCTCCGACCGTCCCCAAAGTGGTTGGGCACCATTCCTTCCCCCGTCCCATCCCAAATCCTTATCCTGACCCCTTCACAGTGCTATATAGTCGTACTGGCTTGACATTTTCTCCCGATAGTTCCCACTTTTAGATATAAGTATTATAATAGACTTAGAAAGAATATTCTTCTGTTCCATTGGCATATTGCCGGTATTCAGTATACACAAGTCCCATGCTGTTCCCAGTCTTACTCCAGGGATATATTCACCGTAGGGTGTAAGCCATTTGTCTGTGTATATGCAGAGAGTGTACCATCATAGTCTTGAACAGTGTCGAGGACTAGAACATGCTTTCTGGTTAGCTAGTCTGTTTGTGCTGGGCCCTTCATAACTCTCGCCAGCAGGGGGGGGGGGTTAGTTCATATATTATGCACCCCATACCCTTCTTGTGGGTGGTAGTGGACACCATACCCATCCTGTGGGTGGTAGTGGACCCATACCCATCCTGTGGGCGGTAGTGGACCCCATACCCATCCTGTGGGTGGTAGTGGACACCATACCCATCCTGTTGGTGGTAGTGGACCCCATACCCATCCTGTTGGTGGTAGTGGACCCCATACCCATCCTGTTGGTGGTAGTGGACCCCATACCCATCCTATAGGCGACAGTGGACCCCAATACCCATCCTGTGGGTGGTAGTGGACCCCATACCCATCCTGTGGGCGGTAGTGGACCCCATACCCATCCTGTGGGTGGTAGTGGACACCATACCCATCCTGTTGGTGGTAGTGGACCCCATACCCATCCTGTTGGTGGTAGTGGACCCCATACCCATCCTGTGGGTGGTAGTGGACCCCATACCCATTCCTGTAGGCGACAGTGGACCGCAATACCCATCCTGTGGGTGGTAGTGGACCCCATACCCATTCCTGTGGGCGGTAGTGGACCCCAATACCCATCCTGTGGGCGGTAGTGGAAAGATTTACATAAGCACATAATGGGCTCGGGGACTGAACCATTGTTGACAGGACAAAAGTCTAACATCAAACCCAACCGACCATTCCTGTTTCTCTAAACTGAGAATCCTGCTGAGTACCTATAGAGCGTTTTGTTTACATTAAGCCCTAACATCAGGATCGTTTACAAGTATGACCAAAACCGATCAACATTACTTCAAAAGGTTATATACCTCACCCTCGTCTCTCTCTACAGGAAGGATTGTCGAGCCATTGGCAAACTGGCTGAGAAGAAGGACGCCGACATCTTCTGCCACCAGAACTGTCTCGGAGTGCCCTCCTACTGCCCCAGGGACATGTGTGTGTGTAGCTAGCTGACCCTCTGCCGTCCTCCTCGCCTGCCAGTGAGTGAGAACTACGGGCTCACCATAGCCCGTGTTACCTGGAACTTTTTGTTCCAGGTAGCGAATCTTTAACAACAACAGCCTGCCAGTGCTCCTACACGTCACCACACACACACATCCAATATACCATCATGGGTCAAGTGTCATAGGTATCTGAATTTATCTGAGGGCTCTAGTGACCCCCCACAGAAGGGGGACAGGAAGCTGGTGGATTGTCAAAAGTGCCCCGTCCTATTATTTCTGAGGATTTTATCCACCTCAATATTAAACAATTTTGTTTGTTTTATTTTGTTTTTTACAGTTACAGCTTTGGCGGATTGGCGATTTCATAGAGGCATATAAGTGAAAAATACATATATTTTCTTGTGTGTAGCAGGTTGAGCACCACCTTAAGGACAACCTTGAGCATCAACTTGAGCACTATCTTGAGCACCACCTTGAGCACCACCACCTTGAGCACCACCTTGAGCACCACCACCTTGAGCTCCACCTTGAGCACCACCACCTTGAGCACCACCTTGAGCACCACCACCTTGAGCACCACCACCTTGAGCACCACCTTGAGCACCACCACCTTGAGCACCACCACCTTGAGCTCCACCTTGAGCACCACCACCTTGAGCACCACCACCTTAGCACCACCTTGAGCAAGGAACACCCACAACACCAAGCCTTCCACACAGAGACAACATACACTACTCACTTATCAGTGACCACGGGGGAGTGGGCTCTAGCTCCTCATACCCCGTCTACTGGCTTTGTTCCCGTTGTCTTACACTTTCATACACTCTTTGATACAATCATACAGTAGTTGCTACAGTCATACACTAGTTGGTACAATCATACACGAGTTGGTACAGTCAACAGCTTCAGGAGAAAATGTCAAACTGATTTCAAAAACTAAATTTCTTGTTATTGAAGTGGTGATTCTTCTCCTTAATTGTTCTTGTTAATTGTTCATGTTAATTATTCTTGTTAATTGTTCATGTTAATTGTTCTTGTTAATTGTTCTAGTTAATTATTCTTGTTAATTGTTCATGTTAATTTTTCTTGTTAATTATTCTTGTTAATTGTTCATGTTAATTGTTCTTGTTAATTGTTCATGTTAATTATTCTTGTTAATTGTTCATGTTAATTGTTCATGTTAATTATTCTTGTTAATTGTTCATGTTAATTATTCTTGTTAATTGTTCATGTTAATTATTCTTGTTAATTGTTCACGTTAATTATTCTTGTTAATTGTTCATGTTAATTATTCTTGTTAATTATTTAATTATTCTTGTTAATTATTTAATTATTCTTGTTAATTGTTCATGTTAATTGTTCACGTTAATTATTCTTGTTAATTGTTCACGTTAATTATTCTTGTTAATTGTTCATGTTAATTATTCTTGTTAATTGTTCATGTTAATTGTTCTTGTTAATTGTTCATGTTAATTATTCTTGTTAATTGTTCATGTTAATTATTCTTGTTAATTATTCTTGTTAATTGTTCATGTTAATTGTTCATGTTGAATATGCCTCAGAAGAGCTGTGCTGCCATTGGCTGTTAATTAAGCCTATTGTTTGTTCAGAGCTTCGGCTTGTAAGGTTGTGTCATCTGTCATAAGCTTTCTTTAGCTTTTATTTATTGTTATTTATTTGATGCTTATTATTTATTAAAGAATAAATGCAGCTGTTTGTTAATATATTAAAGTATAACATAAAACACTATTATTCATCCCTTCAGCATGAGTATAACTGTACTCATCCCTTCAGCATAACTGTACTCATCCCTACAGCATGAGCATAACTGTACTCATCTCTACAGTATAACTGTACTCATCTCTACAGCATGAGTATAACTGTACTCATCCCTACAGCATGAGTATAACTGTACTCATCCCTACAGCATGAGTATAACTATACTCATGCCTACAGCATGAGTATAACTGTACTCATGCCTACAGCATGAGTATAACTGTACTCATCTCTACAGCATGAGTATAACTGTACTCATCCCTACAGCATGAGTATAACTGTACTCATCCCTTCAGCATAACTGTACTCATCCCTACAGCATGAGCATAACTGTACTCATCTCTACAGTATAACTGTACTCATCCCTTCAGCATGAGTATAACTGTACTCAACACTACAGCATGAGTATAACTGTACTCATGCCTACAGCATGAGTATAACTGTACTCATCTCTACAGCATGAGTATAACTGTACTCATCTCTACAGCATGAGTATAACTGTACTCATCTCTACAGCATGAGTATAACTGTACTCATCTCTACAGCATGAGCATAACTGTACTCATCTCTACAGCATGAGTATAATTGTACTCATCCCTACAGCATGAGTATAACTGTACTCATCCCTACAGCATGAGCATAACTGTACTCATCCCTACAGCATGAGTATAACTGTACTCATCCCTACAGCATGAGTATAACTGTACTCATCCCTTCAGCATGAGCATAACTGTGCTCATCTCTACAGCATGAGTATAACTGTACTCATGCCTACAGCATGAGTATAACTGTACTCATCCCTACAGCATAACTGTACTCATCTCTACAGCATGAGTATAACTGTACTCATCTCTACAGCATGAGTATAACTGTACTCATCTCTACAGCATGAGTATAATTGTACTCATCCCTACAGCATGAGTATAACTGTACTCATCCCTACAGCATGAGTATAACTGTACTCATCCCTACAGCATGAGTATAACTGTACTCATCTCTACAGCATGAGTATAACTGTACTCATCTCTACAGCATGAGTATAACTGTACTCATGCCTACAGCATGAGTATAACTGTACTCATCTCTACAGCATGAGTATAACTGTACTCATCCCTACAGCATGAGTATAACTGTACTCATCCCTTCAGCATGAGTATAACTGTACTCATCTCTACAGCATGAGTATAACTGTACTCAATCCTACAGCATGAGTATAACTGTACTCATCCCTACAGCATGAGTATAACTGTACTCATCCCTTCAGCATGAGCATAACTGTGCTCATCTCTACAGCATGAGTATAACTGTACTCATGCCTACAGCATGAGTATAACTGTACTCATCCCTACAGCATAACTGTACTCATCTCTACAGCATGAGTATAACTGTACTCATCCCTACAGCATGAGTATAACTGTACTCATCTCTACAGCATGAGTATAACTGTACTCATCCCTACAGCATGAGTATAACTGTACTCATCCCTACAGCATGAGTATAACTGTACTCATCCCTTCAGCATGAGCATAACTGTGCTCATCTCTACAGCATGAGTATAACTGTACTCATGCCTACAGCATGAGTATAACTGTACTCATCCCTACAGCATAACTGTACTCATCTCTACAGCATGAGTATAACTGTACTCATCCCTACAGCATGAGTATAACTGTACTCATCTCTACAGCATGAGTATAACTGTACTCATCCCTACAGCATGAGCATAACTGTACTCATCTCTACAGCATGAGTATAACTGTACTCATCCCTACAGCATGAGTATAACTGTACTCATCCCTACAGCATGAGCATAACTGTACTCATCCCTACAGCATGAGTATAACTGTACTCATCCCTACAGCATGAGTATAACTGTACTCATCCCTTCAGCATGAGCATAACTGTGCTCATCTCTACAGCATGAGTATAACTGTACTCATGCCTACAGCATGAGTATAACTGTACTCATCCCTACAGCATAACTGTACTCATCTCTACAGCATGAGTATAACTGTACTCATCCCTACAGCATGAGTATAACTGTACTCATCCCTACAGCATGAGTATAACTGTACTCATGCCTACATCATGAGTATAACTATACTCATCCCTACAGCATGAGTATAACTGTACTCATGCCTACAGCATGAGTATAACTGTACTCATCTCTACAGCATGAGTATAACTGTACTCATCTCTACAGCATGAGTATAACTGTACTCATGCCTACAGCATGAGTATAACTGTACTCATCTCTACAGCATGAGTATAACTGTACTCATCCCTACAGCATGAGTATAACTGTACTCATCCCTTCAGCATGAGTATAACTGTACTCATCTCTACAGCATGAGTATAACTGTACTCATGCCTACAGCATGAGTATAATTGTACTCATCCCTACAGCATGAGTATAACTGTACTCATCCCTACATCATGAGTATAACTATACTCATCCCTACAGCATGAGTATAACTGTACTCATGCCTACATCATGAGTATAACTATACTCATCCCTACAGCATGAGTATAACTGTACTCATGCCTACATCATGAGTATAACTATACTCATCCCTACAGCATGAGTATAACTGTACTCATGCCTACAGCATGAGTATAACTATATGATATGTATATGATATATGAACTATATAACTACATAACTATATAAGATACATAACTATATGATATGAATGCTTCAGTCTCTTTTCAGTTTCTTCAATCTCTCAGTTTAAATTATTCCTTCTTTGTATGGAGAGTCGTGTCTGCTTAAGCATTTCCGTTACTTTTCTTCTTTTGTAATGTCGTCTGCGTTCTCTTTCTACATTGGACCTCTTTCTGGCTTTCCTCAAAGGCACATGTTTCTGGTGAATACTGTGAAACTAGGCGAACACACACACACACACACACACACACACACTCACACACGCACACACACACACACACACACACACACACACACACACACACACACACACACACACACACACACACTCACACACGCACACACACACACACACACACACACACGCACACACACACACACACACACACACTCACACACGCACACACACACACACACACACACACACACACACACACACACACACACACACACACACGCACACACACACACACACACACACACACACACACACTCACACACGCACACACACACACACACACACACACACACACACACACACACACACACACACACACACACACACACACACACACACACACACACACACACACACACACACACACACACACACACACACACACACACACACACACACACACACACACACACACACACACACACACACACACACACACACACACACACACACACACACACACACACACACACACACACACACACACACACACACACACACACACACACACACACACACACACACACACACACACACACACACACACACACACACACACACACACACACACACACACACACACACACACACACACACACACACACACACACACACACACACTAATCTACGAAACTATAAACTATCACGAATCATATTATAAACATACAAAACACACATTAATAAATTAATAGAAGCCGTCTAGACAGAAATGCTATGGTAAAAAAATAATAAATAGCCCAAGAAAATACTTGACAAAATATAATTTCCTTCAATGCTTGAGAACGTATAAAATAACTTCTTTAAAAATTTGAACTTCGTCTATTAACTGCGGCCAA